AAGAAGGGGAAGAGGACGAGATGATATAGCCATATTATCATACACCGGTTCAAGTACTGATTACTCGACCGCATTTCGTCCACATATCTCAATGTCCCTAAGTCGACTTCATGAAAGTCGACTTCTCACACAGAATGGATCAAGGAGGGAACCTTTTTCAACAAGCCAGTTTCCAAGACGACTTATGTAAGTCGACTTAAAGAAGTCAACCATCATTAAAGAGGACGAGCGAGCGCAGAATGGAGCCTCCAAATGTATTCCCATATATGCCCTAAGTCGACTTGGTGAAACCCAAGGTCGACTCTTTGTGCCTCGAGGTCCAAAATGTTTCGACGACTTGAAACACTTCAACACGTCTTAACAGGTTCCCTGAACAGAGGTTAATCTTTATGAGATAAGAAGGAATCTAACGCTGACTATGAGATAGATGAAAGACAAACCAACCAGGGCATTTTGGACATTTCGTATAAGTCGGCCGGGGCATTTTGAGTATCCCAAGTAGGTATTTCCTTCTATATAAAGGGGTTGAGGTAATCTGAAACGCTAACTTCACTCTCTCTATTCATTTTCTCCCTGCTGCTACTACCACTGAGCAGAGCTCTCTTCATCTTTTTCATACTAACTCGAGCGTCGGAGGCTCTACGCCGGAAACACTTCTAGCGTTGAGTTCTTACATGTGTTTTTGGCGGTCTAGAGGCGATTCAAAGGCGGTTCGAACAGATCAGAGCTCACAACCACCTGTTCACTCCAGATCTAGGAGGAGACCATCAGGCACCCCTTGATCTTAGCTTAAATCTGGTAGCCAATAAAGGTCGCCAGTAGCTCAGTTGGAATATTCACGAATAATGATGTACTTGATAAATTATACACAACAAGCTTAGCATATCTAGTGAATGAGTTTAGTAATTTTACGAGCAATCCCATTCATGAGCACTTGAGTGCTTTGAAAAGGGTACTTTAGTACTTAAAGTACACCCTTGAATATGGGTTAAAACTCGAGATACCTAGTTGTACTTGAAGGGTATTTTGACGCAAGTTGGATATCAGATTCGAGAGATTCTCACTCCATGAGCAGATATGTTATTTGTATTGGAGGAGGTGGAGTTTTGTGGAAATCCATAAATTAAAGTTGTATTGCTCGGTCAACCATGGAATTAAAATTCATCACTTCAGATAAAGCTGGTGAAGAAGTCGAGTGGTTTCAAAATCTTTTTATATGATATTCTATGATGAAATAAGCGCTGATGATTCGCTGTTATAGCCAGGCTGCTATACGAAGGGCGCAAAACAATATGTACAAAGGTAAGTCTAGACATATTCGTCAGACATAATATTGTTGTCAATTGATCACAAATGGTATTGTTTTCAATAACTCCGTAAGGTCTAAGAACAATTTGGTTGATCCTTTCACTAAAGGAATGAATAGAGATCAATGCTAGAGTGAATAGGTTTAAAAAGTCACAAAGAAAAAACTAATCGTAGTGGTAAACTTACCTTGTTGAATGAAGATCCCATAAACTTGATTCAAGGGGAAAACGAAATTATAAAAATTTAGGTGAGCACTTGGAACATAAAAATGTCAAAGTTATTCCCTAAAGCAATCCAAGTGCAAGATTGTCTATTGATTATGGTGAGGGTAAATCATTTGAACTTTAATGAATACCTAATCTTTTAAATGCGCAGTTATGCAGAATACTCTTGATAGGAAGATCACCTATATATGTGTGAAGTGAGGGCCACTTAAAATGTAAACACTTAGTTGTCTATGGCCAAAACAATCACAACAATAGAACGGAACGTAGTTAAGGCTCTATTGTGTGAATGTCACATGTCTTGGTGTACACTTCAGAGGAATAGTTCAAGGCACTATATCCGATAAGCCACCAGTACATTCGATGATGTTTACTAAGAAGGGCTCAAAGCCACAAGCTACCGTTTTTTATGCTAAAGAGTCTTGTGAGGATAAAGAACAAGAATTTGAATACATGCATATGTTTGTTCCATTTTTGTTGCATTTTTCGTATTTATCTTTCCTTTTTTTCCCCTGACTTAGGTCTTTTTGTTGGTTTTTAGTTTGGTTTTTAGTTTATTACGTGTTTCACCTATTTGGAGTCCTTTCGATGTTTTCATTCATTTTTCGGTCATTTTTTTAAGTTTTTTTTCGTCGTTGGTGTGCAGGTTGGAAGATTCAGGAGGATAGGATTTCAGAAAAACATTAGTCGGGAAAGCGTAATTTAATAGAGGAGTTCATTGGCAACATACAGGAAAAAGCGGAACAAATTTCGAGTCTAAACGAACCCAAACGAGCCCGAGACACGAAGTCATACAAGCAAGCCAGAAGCTCACGCCCAGACCCACACCTCCACGCGCGCGTGATGAAGATCGCGTGTCCCGATTGCCGATAAGCCACACACACACCGACGATAGGTGTCTCGCGAGCCACGTGAGCGCCTCTTGAAACGATAAAATTGCAAAAGAAATCAAGAAGAAATCTAAGGCAAAGTGTTTGAGCAGAAGTTTGGGTTTCTTTTTTATTATGATCTTGAATGAATTAAAATAACAAAAGGAAGGGCCTTTATATAGGCATCAAATAGATCTAGTCCTATTCTAACTATAACTCTAATAAAGCAATAAATATTAAGTATCCTAAACAAGCTAGAAATATTAATGAAATAAGGAAACTAAATATCTAAGGGATCCTAGGTAATCTTGTCTTGCACTCCAAGTAGAAGAACCCTAGCCGCCTGCCGCCGCCTCGGTCCCCAACCTCCCGCGTGCGACATGCCTTAGTCCTCGAGGACTAAGTTCGTGTCGCCCGCTTTCACGCATGTATGGACATCACGCGTATCGCTCACGCCTTCACCCTCCGTGGTCACTCCGCGCGCGTCGCCCCCATCTGGCTAGCCGCTTGCCTCAAGGAGTAAGGCCTCGCTCCCCAGGCGTGCGCGTGTCTTCCCGCTGCTCGCATCTTTCGTGTCCGCAACTGTTGTGCCCATCGTTTGCGTGTCCTGCTCGCGCGCCAGTCGTGCATCACCATCCGTCGGCGTCGGGTCGCTAGTCTCGCGCACATCGCACGCGCCTCCATCGATCGCCTGCGTTTCACCTGCGCGTTGGGCTAGCCTCCTGCGCGCATGATAGGCGCGGCTCAAGGCGTTCTTGAATTGTCGCCCCACATCCGCATCATTCTCGTCCCCTTCAAGTGTTTCCTTGTCCTCAAGGACGAAATCTGAGAATTGCTCGCGTATCTCATCTAAATCTTCCCAAGTGGCCTCCTCCGACGGCAATTCCTCCCACTCAACTAATACCTCCCAACGGTAGTGTCCAGATTTTTTAACTTGGCGATACTCGATCGCACAGCTCGGTCGTACGATGACCCACCCACCGGCTGCGGTCGCCTGTAACTCCTCGCACCACTTTTGCGCTTCTCCTAAGCTCCTCTTGAGCTGCGAGACATGTATGACTGGGTGTATGTGCGAGCTTTTCGGCAGCTCTAAGCGATAAGCTACTTGTCCTATGCGCTTCAGAACCTGGTATGGCCCGTAATAGCGTACCTCTAGCTTGGTCGCGGCCCTTTGCACAGTCGTGCGTTTCCTAAACTGTAGGGCCCCGTTTGATTTATAGAATTTCTCATATTATTCTATTTATCGATTTTTATTTATGCGATTATATTGATTGTATTGGTCGGTAGGTACTTAAATTATAAGTTTAAGTACTCAATCGTTTTATTTTAAATTGTTCGTCGTTCGGCGATTTCGGTTAAATCGCGTAGTTCGGATTTAACCCGTTCGATTATTGGATTGGATTTATTTTCAGATTATTTAATTTGCATTATTACTATTATTATTATTATTATTATTATTATTATTATTATTATTATTATTATTATTATTATTATTATTATAACCTCACACTTACTATTCTGCAATCCTGTGAAAGCCCAACAGTGAAGATCAGTAGTATCGGTCAAGCCCCCGCGTGAGACGAAAAGGTCTGAGAAAAGGTAGTCCAACGGGGCTTTCAACAAGAGTAGCCGGAGAAGTTAGGTCGTTGGGAGCTAGGACGGGAGTGGAAGTCTCGGATTTTCATTATTATTATTATTATTATTATTATTATTATTATTATTATTATTATTATTATTATTATTATTATTATTATTATTATTATAAATTAAATACCTAATTGTCATTAATTGCCTAGTTGTTTTATTTGCTGATTAATATTAAATAAATATTGTGTATTATATATATATATATATATATATATATATATATTATCGGTTGGATTTATTTTAATTTTCTCGATCGTCGCGCGAGTTTACCGAGCCTCATTTTATTGAGTTGAGCCGAGTGAAGCCATCCATTTATTCTAGTTTTCACATCATTATTTATTTGAATTTGTCAAATAGATTCCGTGGCAGTTTCTTGGTTGTGAAATCAGAATTGAGAACTTTTGTTGTAATTCCAATTCACGCCAATAAACTTAAGCATATGAGAGACATTACTTTTCCAATATCTATCCTTAGTATTCAAGTCATTTTTTTCTTCTCTTGCGCATATAGATATACACTAGTGGTCTATCGGCTGTGCAAGCACAGCTGGCTCAAATTTTGTATATCATCAAGTTAAAATTCGGCGTCAATTAAATGTACACACTGCTGGATCGAATTCAGTCCTTTGATTGTTTTTTATCATTATTTTTTAATTTAAGCATGACACAAAAATAACAATCAATATGAAGACAAAATCCACAAAGTATCGTCACATGCACCATGTTCCATGTTTACTTATCATGTCCACATAATTACATATTACATTCACGAAATGCCTAAAAAAATAACTACCAAATTAACGAAAAATCAACATATTTTTACCCCAAAATGATTCAAAAATCATCCCAAGTAAATCTTCAAGAATAAAAAAAGGAAAATGAACACTTGAAGAAACCCACTCTTCCATTTCATCAACATTGATGAGTACGAACTCATTCTTATTATGTGAGCCAAGCACACACTGCGAAGCCTGCCTTTAGTGTCCATCAATAAATCACAATCCTAATCAATACCTTACCTTGTGCCAACCTTTTTTCAGCTTAAGTTCAGTAATGCATCATCCTTCTAGCTCACTCGCCTAGCAGTGGCGCTGGACTGGTTCAAGGAAGGAAGAAAAAGATGAGTAATGCCATATCAAATAAAACATGACATCCAAGCAAGTTCCGTAATGGGGACCTACAAATTAACTCAAAATATTCAGCAGTTCATCATTTTTTGAAAATAGATACTATGCTTAGTTGAAGATAAGTTATTTCAGTTAGAAAACAAACTCCTCAAAACCCAGGTAAATATCTTGACTTCATTAATAATCACGTTTTGATCAGCATCAAATAATGATGCTCACTGTGATATTTAACATAAGTTTTAGCATAATTAGCAAAAAAATTGGGACCTCATGGAAACAATTCATGATCTGTGAGACAAGAAATGTTAACAAATAATCCTATTGTGCATAACTACACCAAGCAGACATATAAATATGTTTGGATACTGTTCACTAAAATAACTCGCCTTACTATGATATCTGTAGCTCTCTCCCCAACTTTCATCTCCATTTTGAAGTAACTTGCTCATCGATTTCATCCCAACGCCAACAAATCTATAAAAGACACACACACAGACACACACACACAATAAGAATATAAAGTTTGATGTGACTATATAAGTCGTGCACAACGGTTTGCAAAAATGTTGTAGAGATGTCTAGAGAGATAGGAATTTAAATTTTGTTGCTAATTTATTTATTAGTAACAATATTTTGCAGAATAATAATCAAGAGACTAACCTCTTCAATGACAGTTCACAGTAGCTGCAGCAACTCGCTGTAAATCAGTGACACGATCAGCACAAAAAATCACGATCTGCGATATACTGCCGAAAAATATCCTGATGAGTCTCACATATACATTTTTCTCAAATTATGGCTTGAAACATATTTACTTTCCATAAATCAATGTGTACAATGATTCACTAATAGCTTATGAGGGCTGCAGTGCTAGAACTGTTGATAAATCAGAATAAATAAACCATGTTGTCTATTTTAGCGAATACTACGAGCGACAAAGTAAAAAAGGCTAAAATTTGTACCTGAGTAGCCAGATCACCGATAGCAAGCCGTGACAAAACAACTTTGGCTCTACTCTTTACGCACTAATCTAATTTGTCATAAATGATATTCCACTCTGCATCTAACAATTGACTGATACTGTAAATGACGCATAATGCGAGATTTGATGAAGGGAAATAACATATTGACTAACTGCAACAAAGGGTAGGAAGAAATAAGTCATAAGTTGCAATTATACGCATGTTGGATGGTTCTTCAGAGCACAAAAAGTCATGTCAACATCGCTTGGAACATAGTATTTATCAAAATTTTGGTCTCTCCAACTTTCTTGATGAAAAATCTAGTGCAACTATTATTCTAAGTTTCTAACAAATTGTCAGTTTTATATAATAATTTTTACATCTCTGCATATCTTTCCAAAAATATTTGCTTAAAAAAAATGTTTCAGTCTTACCTGCTGTTACGCCACATGGTCTTAGCGTTGGGGATGACGAGCTGTAAGTCGCTGGTCTCTGAAGTTGGCTGAGTGGCTGAGGAACATTGCGATGGTGGTCGCTGCTCATCAACCTCTTGCTAGAGTACAATCTGTCGGAATTCGAGTTCCTGCGCAAGTATCTTATTGGAATTAACCTCTTAAAGAAACTGGATTTGCATAGACATGCTAATTAATCAATTTTAATTCCGAAAAAAGAACAAAGTTTGGCAAAACCGAAGCAAAATTAGGCAGCTTTGAAGATAAGTGAAATACTAATAAAGAATAAATTATAATGTAGGAAAGAAAAAAGAGAAATACATAACCATTTCTAGTCATGGAAACCAGCAAAAGAAATTCACGCTCAAACATGTGGTGGAATGGACTAAATGGACCATGACCAACATCATGCAGTAAAACTATACATAATAAGAAAAGAGACATTTACCGCTTGATTAAATTGAAGTTCATCTTAAGATTGAATGCATCTTAATTCGGAATGGGATATTGTCCACTTTGAACATTTTCCTGTCTTTAAGGACTTTCGGATTACCGCCATACATTCGTGCAGACATTCATCAAAGAATCCATAGACTTTGGTTGATCTGCAAGGTAAAGACAAAATAAAAACTATAATTCATTATAAAAAATAAGTTGATAAAAAGAATCTCGTAAAGCGAATAATCGACTGCAATGTTGATGAGAGAGCTCTTATTTGGTCTTCTAGGGTATGTTTTTGCTTTACAGAAAATAAATGAACCCATATGGGAAGGATTTTCTCAAAAATTGAATATGTTTGGTGACGCGACAGAAATAAATACGGCCCCAGAATCTCAAGGCCATCAAAATAAATTATCCCGTAGGCCCACATACATCAGAGTAACATAAGTCATGGCTGAAGTCTGGTCAAAATTCCAAAAGCAAGAAATTGAAGAATGCCATCAAAATTATGGGAAAATGTGGAAACTCAGTTGGCTGGAATAACAAGTTGGGACCAATATGGTTGTCTCTGAGTTGAGAAATTAACAAACTAATTTCTTACCTGTCTACTTTCATGATTCCCCCAGAGAATTGTAATACGATGAGGATAGCGTACTTTTAGATCTACTAAAAGCTGCAGGAAATAAGTCCATAATCATACTTACCTGTTTAAATAGAATAAAATAAGGCAACTGAACATGGGTATTTGTATCATATTTAGGATATATATCATGACAGAGACCAATGATAATCAAACTAACAATGTGCTTGTGCTTGTATTTCTCCTAATAATGAACTCACAGTAACAGTTTCGACCAAGTAGTAGCCACGATCAACATAAACTCCCATAAATAGGTAGTTAGTGTCTGACACTGTTAATAGAAAGTACAGACAATGTCAGACCCCATATAAATTGTAAAACTATTATAGAACCAATTTCATGCATTATGAGAAAAAACACCAGAGGAGAATCATTCTACGCAACCAAACCACATTTTAAATAGATGCAAGATGACCAGTAGCATAACATCATCCTAGCGAAAACATGCAGCATACATGGAAATAAATTTATATCTCATTCTGTTCATGTTAAGAAGTGACAGCGCCTGTTGTATTCATAACTAAGAGCCACGACAGACAAGATAAAATTCTATTCAATTTCGACCTGTTATGAATAACAAAACAGTCCATCCTGAAGTCTGATCCGTTGACTGCTCTCGTAGATTGATTTCTCCTATTGCAAAACAAAGAGTGATACAAGCTTTATGAATGTCATAGTCAATTAATATCCAAAAAAAATGAGTAAATCGTACACATTCACCCCAATTCCATCGACCCCAGCAGGGTCTCCACCAGCCTCCATCAGCAGATCGAACTATGTCGTGCAAAATGGAGGAAATCATCTTGATAAGAAGCCGCGTGTGCTCGACGGTGATTTGGAGGTCTCGGGACAGCGTATCAAAATCTACCCGCTCGGTCGGATTGGATGATAGGAGATTCGATTTGAGCTGCGACAACACATAACCCAGTCATTCATAAATTAGACATGAAAACAACAGAAAACTAAGAGTATGCGACGAAAAATGAAAACCAAACAATGATCAAATAAAATAAAACAATTAATTTCTTTATCATAATTCTAAACTCGAAGAGAACGATTACATCTGCAAAGTCTACATATTCCTCTTCAACAGGTTCAGACTCCCGCCGGTAAAGGCCGTACCCGTCTACATATAGTCCCCCGGCAGCGCCCTCTGCTTCTGCGGCGCAGTCACTGTCTCACGTTCCTAAGTCGTGCTCTCCCTCCGCTAGCGGAAGTTGGAGTCCGGGGCGTTCCCACCTCACAGCGGGCGACGCGTCATCGCTCTTTGTGAAGATTGATGGGTCAGTGGAGGACCTTGTGTGCGACCATAGGTAAAACAGCTCGTGGTGCTCTCACGGGCGTTCTCGATGTGGAGCAGCGCCGGCGGGAGCACAATCAATTGATGTATAAATTCAGGCGTTCGAGGTATGGTTGAGAATTGGAAAAGGAGAATTGAGAAAGGAGAGCCTTGCAGGGTTTGGGAAGAGGTATGGTTGCAGTGAAATGGGAGAAAGAATAGATTTGGTTGGTAAGGTTTGTGAAGACGGAAAGATATTATTACCTGCTCCCGTCAAATTCATATCCACTCGTGCGGAAATTACGCATAAAGGAAGAAAAAGGACGGGCATGTATCTTTTTTATTTGCTCTTCTTTCACTTTCTCAATATTTCGGTCAACCCACTCAAGCAGGGGCATCATTTGTAAAAAGAGGTGAAATTAGGGGCATTTTTGTCTTAAATAAAGGGACACGTGTCATGTGTAGAACTACTCATGTTTTTGCTTATATGTTATAGAGAGATATAGAGAGATATATATATTTCGTAACCCTTAGCTCATAATTTTACGCTGCAAACAACGAGCAAACTTCTTTTCTTCCTTCATCCTTCGACACCATCAGTAAACCCTCATCTCTCTCCTTTTTTTCACGC